GGGAGAAACGGGGGGGCCGGGGGGGGGGGGAGGAGAGGGAGAGAGAAAGAGAAACCAAAAAGGGCCGGGGGGGGGTTGGTCTCATGGTTCGATGCTGTGCCCACCGGGGGCCCCCGACCCCTGCACCTGCGTGTTCTACCTGTCTCCTTCCTGCCTGCCTGCCTTCCAGGTGTGACTATAGGGCCGGGTGTGTGTGTTTGGTCTCATGGTTCGATGCTGTGCCCACTGGGGGCCCCCGACCCCTGCACCTGTGTGTTCTACCTGTCTCCTTCCTTCCTACCTGCCTTCCAGGTGTGATTGACTTTCTGGAACGGCCTGCCAGAGGCGAGCCGGTGGGCCCAGCCTTGCCCTAACAGTGGCAAAAGCCTCAGCCTTCCCAAGGAGGCCAATTTAAAACCTCCCCAGCTCGGGTGGCAAGAGGAACTAGGCGTGCCCTGCCCTGAATCCGGGGCTGCAAGGGGGCTCTCTCTTCTTCCCTGCCCGGGGCCTGCTCCTGGGGCTGGCTAGCATCAGGCACAGGTGGCTACAGGTAAAGAGCAAGACCACGAAGTGGAGGGAGGCAAGTATACCCGGGGGGGGCATCCCTACTCAGCCTTGGGGGGCTGGTTTTTCTTTTCTTTTGAGGCATTGGTTGGGCTGGAGAGAAGCTCCTCTCTCTGGCTGGCAGAGCAGTGAACGGAAGGGGCAGTCACAAGCGTCCGACCCCCCACCCACCCATCCACACCTATTTCCCCCATTTCAGAGCAGTGGTTTTAGAACTCCAGTCTGCCCACCCATCCACACCTATTTCCCCCATTCCAGAGCAGTGGTCTTAGAACTCCAGTCCGCTCTCCTCCTCTCAGGCATGAGACACACACACACACACGTCCGCCTGGCTCGGGGCGATCCAGGCTGACCCAAATGGGGTGTCCTGGACTCTGCTGCTCCTGGAGCAGAACCTGACCCCACTGGTCTCTGTGTGTGTGTCTCTGAAACTTTTAAAAACTTTGATTTATTTGATTTCTCTGCCTCCTTTTCTCCCAGGGAAGGGGCTTTCCTGCCAGCAAAGGGCCATTTTTGCCCACCCAACCACAGCGGCCACTGGAGTGGGGGAAACCTGGCCTGTCCACCCTCGGGACACACTCTGCCCTCTTCTGTGATGTGGCCCATCTGAGGTGAGAAGGCAACCCCGGAGGGCCGCCCGACCAGTTTCTGCAGATTTTACTCACTGTTTCAAGACCAAGAGGATGAATCTGCACTGCCCAGGCTGGCGTACTGCCACCATAATGCCCACATTATCTCAAAAGCTACAGTCAGAGTGGGGTTTGGGCCCCACCGTCTCCCCTGCTTCTAACAAAAGATGGACCTCCTGTTTCCTTCCCTACCTACTCCTTGCTACTGGCTCAGGAGGGGCCGCTTCGATGCCTCTCCGTGTACCCCCAAGGAATTCCAAATGCACCACCCGAGGAAAGGCAACGGCGAAGGCCAGAATTACACGAACGTCCATCGTTTGGAATTTGTTGCTGACGAGGGAGAAGAATGAGCGCCGCAGCACCGTCTGCCCTATCGTGGCGATAAGGGACACCAGTGCGTTGTGCAGTCTGTTTCCCCTTCCCAGCTTTTCTGGGGGGGGGGGCTCCCCACCTGGAATGTCTTGGCGCAGGCTTCACTGGTCCACAGTGAGGTCGTGTTGGCAGTGAAGAGCTACGTACGTACGGTCGGGGAGGCTCCACCTGCCTGGACAGCCGTGTTTTTTTAAGGCACCTGCAAACGATTCGGTTAAGACCTTCTAGCACACGGCGCTCTTAGGCAGCGCTGCTCCCTTTCGGAACCGCTCTTCCTCGGGGGTCGCTTTACTGGCCTGCCACAAGAAAAAGGGGGTTTAAACCCGAACCTCCACCAGCCAAGCCCTGCCTGGCCATCCATCCCGGGAACCAGAGGAGGGAATGGAAAAGGGGTCTTGAGCACAAGCAGAGAAAAGACGAGAGAGAGAGAGACACTCTATGCCACGTGGCCAGCCCACCCCCCATCCATTTCTATGCCCCAACTTGTGCTACGGCAGATTAGGGGCCAGGTTAGAAATTTAAAAACTTGTCCTCCACCCACAATCATCTGCTTATGTCCGAGACATGTTTGCACGTCAGATCCCTGGGTGTTGGATTTTTTTAAAAAAAAAATGTATGTGCCACGGAGCTGTCCTCCAACAGAACAACGGGGCTCCCCCGCCGGGCCCTTTCCCTGACGGCTTGATGCACGGGCAACCATCCAAAGGGTGAAAAGCCTTGACAGGATCGGGGCCTCGGCAGCATCCGGGAAGACTGAGCAGGCGTCCTCTGCAAACAGCCATTCTTGCCGTCTCCAGCCTTGATTTGCACAAAGTGCTTCTGTTTTCTACCCGTCCCGACACGCGAGAGGCGGCCACTTCCACACACACCCCTCCCACCCACGAGATAATGCAAACCCACTCAAGAAAGACACACCAATCTGGTTCAACTTTGCCAGCCTCTCTGGCAGGCAGTACCAGGGGAGGGGGCGGCGTCCGCTGCTTTGCAAAACCCTTTTTTCCTCGTGCACAAGAGTAATAATAATCCCCAATCAAAACACAAGGAAACCCAACTAGGCAAGGCTGCTCAAGGTGCTAGCCCTCAAGGGAGGAAAAGGAGGCAACAGCAGCAGAAAGGGGGGGGTTGTGCTACTTCATCTTAGGATGTAAAATAAAGCTGTAGAGTCGCAGGAAAAAACCAACACGATTTTTGCATAAATATCAAGGCCGTCAGAGGCTAAGGCTGTTTTTCTTTCCTTGTGACCACGTCCTGGACCCTCTTCTGGCCTGCTCAGGTCCCTGAGATATATTTTGTTTCTGTTTTGTTTTTGTTTTTTTAAATTCCTGTATATTAGGGGCAAACGTACCACAGGGTCTTCCTTCACGCCGTCTCCTCTCGTAAGTCTGTGAGGGGGAAAAAAGAGGGTGGGGGAGACAAATCAGTGAGTATGTCTGGATATGATGTAAGACTTGAAGTCCGATTTTAGGTCCCTCTCAACTGAGCACTCCTAACCACCTTCGCGACCCTCTCCCGGCTTCTGGAAAAGTCAGGCCGGTCTGTCGTCTCCATCAAAACCAAAGGAACTTTTAAGAGTTTCGCACTCAAAGACAACTGAAATTGGGTGGCTACCAAAAACTGTAAAAGTCACACACATTCCCTCTTGCCTTGCCAATTAGCAGTCTTAATCCTGGCTTTGGGGACGAGGCACGGAAGCACCTCATGCACCCCTGGCAGCATGAAATCCTGGCTCGGCTTCTAGGCTATTGAGAAAGGATGAAAACGGTTCTGCCCTTTTTCCTGTTTGTTCTGAGGGATAAAACGCTTGCTTTCTGATTAGGCAAGCTCTTATCGGGAGTCTGCGGACAAACGCTCGCTCTATGGGTTGGAAACGGAGATGAGCACCGCCGCCTAGAGTCGGACACAACTGGACACACCCTTTTGCCAGACCTTGACCTTTATTGGGAGTCTAGGCACCCTTTTGCCAGGGAGTTCAAACAGCGGCAAAAAGCAGAGTTGGGCCAACCCATGAAAAACCTAAAAAGGGGTGTTGAGGAAGAGGGTTGGGGGGGAGGAAAACCCTACAGGAACCGGGCAGAGATAACGCTGCCCTTTCTGATGGCATAACATGGGTGGAGACCTCGAGACCCTTGGGTCCCGATTCCCATCAATGATTTTGACCCAAAACAAACAGCTTGATGGCTGGGACTTGGTCTTTGCAAGGGGAAGGTTTTGTTTCATAGGAAGATTCAGCCAGCCGGCCAACATGGGGCACGCAGGCGGGAGACTCTGCAGGCACACACACCCTGCCCACGGGCAGGACCACGCTTGACCCTGTTCTCGTGGCATGCTGCTAGCCCTCACCTTGTGCCGGGGGGCTCTGCGGGGCCATCTCCAGTGTGGAAGTGGGGCCGTCATCGTTCCTTGCTCCTGCAGACCCCTCGCTCTTAGTCCTGTCCCCGGTTGCTGGCAACGGGGAGCTCGGCTCCTGGGCACCTGGTGGCAGCGGGGGGCTCCAGGGCCCCTGCAGGGAGCCCAGTCCGAGCGAAGGCTTCTTGGCGATGGGCGGGGGCACCTTCGGGGGCTTCTGGGCTGGGGGCTTCCCAGCGCCCTGCAGGGGAGGCCCGGGGGCTGCCAGCGACCGCTGGCCTGAGACATTCATGAGTTCGGCCACCAGGTTCTTCTTCAGGCTGGCCTGGGCCTCCGGAGAGGACGGCGTCTCGATGACCAGCTTCTTGGGGCTCTTGGCAAAGATGAAACTGGCCGTTGACGCCGGTGACTTGAGGAGGGGGGACGATGCTCGGCCATCCTTGGCCTCCCCTGCCAGGGAAGCCATCGGCGTAGTGGCAGAGAAAGCCGGCAACGTCATCCGGTGGCCCGCCTTCCTCTCCGCCACCCCGAGGCCAGCGGCGTCCCTCGAGGACAAGGTGGAGGCCTTCAAGCGCACGGCGTGGTGCAGCGGGTTCGGGGAGCTGGCTTCTTTGGAACTGGTGTGGGGCACCCTCAAGGAGAGCGACTTCCGGATTGGTTTCTGGGGGGGCGGTGGCTGCCCCGGCTTCCCATCGGCCCCCGAGTCGGGTCCGTTTGGCTCAGCGGTGACTTGGGCCACTCCAGGTCCGGCCGCAGTGCCGTGGGCATCCACGTGGACTGAGCGCAGGCGTACCATCTGGAGCAAGGAAGGGGTGACGATGGGGAGGTTGGCGTCTTCCTTTGGCATGGGGTTGCTCTTGCCGCGGGCGGATGGCGGCGGCTCCTTCGGGAGGCCGTTGGCCGGCTTCTTGTGGCCCAGTGGGGCTTGGGGGCCAGAAGACGAGAGGGTGGCCGGCGCTGGTTCGTGAGCCTTCCGGGGGGCGACAGGGACCGCGCTGGGTGGCCTCCCCGTCGGCGCAAGGGGAGGTGGTCGCTCGATGGTGGGAGCTGGCAGCGGGGTGGCATTCGGGGTGCTCTGCTGCTGGATCTTGCAGGAGACCATCATGGAGAAGGAAGGGGACATGGCGGGGGCTGCGTCCTCCTCCGCAGGGGTGGCTTTGCGGGTGGCAAGCGGCTCCTCCGCAGGAGGGGGAGAGGTCCCCTTGGGGGCTTCGGCAGCCGCGGGGATTTCCACGGCAACCGACGGTGATCCTGGTGCCGGCAGTGAGAAAAAGGCTTCATCAGGGGGTGGAAAGTCTGCCATGGAGAGATCGTGTGCGTCCGGGACCGGCGGGGGTGGAGGGGGCCACAGAGAATCCGACGGCACCTCTGCGTCCATCCCCGAAGAGGCAGGGGCGGCCACGGCAGGGGGCACGAGGTTGCCCTCGGCCTTCTTTGCTGGGGGCGGTGGCCCCTCCGCGTCCATCCCCGAAGAGGCAGGGGCGGCCACGGCGGGGGGCGCGAGGCTGCCCTCGGCCTTCTTTGCTGGGGGCGGTGGTGGGTGGTAGGCGGGGGGTGGTGATGGAGGAGGCGACACCACTTGGCCAGGCTTCACGAGGGCCCCAGGGGGCTCTGCGTCAGTCTGGTCGGGGGCGTGCGAGGCTGTGGTGGTGCCGTTCCCCCTCCTGGGCTCAGCAGGTTGGCTCTCGGTGGGCGGCAGGCAGGATGGCGCCGGGACCTTGGGGTGGGGCGGGATGACAAACCGGTCTGTTTTGCTCGGCCCCGGCGGAGGGCCCGAAGGGGCGCCAGCTGGAGGAAGGGCAACCCCCTCCGCCGGGGCCGGATCCGAGGCCGACGATGAGAGGGAGGTCAAGGAGGAAGAGACGGAGAGCCCCGGGGACTGCAGGGAGCAAACCCGCTCCGGCTTCTTTGGCTGGGCCCTCGTCGTCGTCTTCTCCGGCGGCGAAGCGTGGGCCGCGGGGCTCTTGGCATGGAGGGTGGGCGTGCCGCTCTGGCTGGAGTACCCGCTGGAGGGCGACATGGTGCGGCCGAAGCGATCCGGGGAGCTGTGCTTGGAGGAGACCTCCTGGGCCTCGGGGAGGGCCAGGCCCTCCGCCCCGTGGAGCTTGGCCACGGTGATGGGGCTCGGGGGGGAGCGCTCCGGAGAGCAGGCCAGGCTGCCGGGCTCGCTCTGAGACGACGGCAGGGGGGAGAAGACGTCGTCCTCGATGGCCGAGGAGGGGCTCCCTCGCCGCACCGGGCCCCGTAGCTCGGCCCCTTCCCGCTGGGGCCGGCGGCCGGGCTTCGGGGGCAGGCCCACCACGGCTTTGGGGGCCCCCTCAGCCTCCAGCTGCTGGGCCTTCTGGTGCAAGGAGTAGGTTCTCCGGGGCGGGGCGGGGGGTTTCTTCATTTTCCGGAGGGAGACGCTCCGGGCTGAGGAGGAGCGGTCGCTCCGCACGCTCAGGCTATCCGAGCCGTCGGCCGCGCTGCCAGTGCTGCACGCGGGGGAAGTTCGGCCGCTGCCATTCCCTGGAGGCAGCGCTCCCAAGAGGTTGGGGGAGGCCGGGGCTGCCTTGGCCGCGACCCAGCGGGCGCCACTCCTGGAGCTGTAGGTGCTGAGCTGGTCGGGTTCGGGGCCGTGCCCCACTGGGCCCTGTCCATCGGGCCCCGCTCCGCCCTTCCGGCTGCCCCCGTGGGAGGAGAGGGTGGAGGTGTTGGAGACGATGGTCTCCGTCGACTGGGAGTGGCTCCAGTTGTCGCTGGAGGAGGAGTGCTCCCGGCTGCGGGGCAGGGCGGGGAAGCGCCCCACCGAGCGCACCGAGGGCGAGGGGCTGGCGGTCGAGAGGCTGCAGCGGCTGAGGGTGCGCACCCGGTCGCGGGAGAGCACGATGACGTCCACCAGGGGCAGCAAGATGGCGTTGGGGATGATCTTGGACATGTAGGTGCCCTGGGGTGAGATAGACATGACAGGGCTCAGCAGGTCCGGGGAGGCGGGCCGAGTGGTCATCCAGGGGACGGCCAGGGACTTTGGCCTGGCCAAGGGGGACAGCTTGTCAGCCGTCTTGCGCCCCAAGAGCGAGTCGTCGTAGTAGACGCGGTCGATGTGGCCCTGGAGGGCCGAATCGGCTGCCTCGACCTCCAGCACCGGCAGTGAGACCCGGGCACCGCCCTCCGGCACCGCGTCGGGCTCCATCTTCCCGTCAACGGTGGGGATGTGGATGGTGTTCTCGGGGCCCTTGCCGCCGTTCACCAGGACCGGAGGACTGGGGCTGACCCTGACCCCCATTCTGCCGGGACATTTCTTGGCGTCGTACCCGTTGCTCAGGCCTAGAGGGGGAGAAAGAAGACATCCGTGAAGGCGAAACCCTCATCATCCATCCCAGGAGGAGAGGAAATCAAGAAGGGGCTGAAAGGACGGTTGGGTGAAACAGAAAGGTGGGAGGATCTGAATCCAGAGCCCTCCCCTCCCCTAGTTTTTCTCAGTCCCTGGATAAAAAGCTTCCTCCGTCCAGCCAGAAGGGAGGAGGTCACTTCTCAAGAACAACTGCACGCTTTAGAAATTGCTTCCTTTCCAAGGGTGGGGGGAAAAACTTGAATTGGGGAAGCTTTCTCCTGGATGAACCTTTCTCCAGGTCAGGATACAGCCTGGACAGCTGCCAAAGCAACAGATAAACACAAGCCCTTCTCCCCTGAACCTCTGAAATGAAAAGCGAAGCCTTTCTCATCCCCTCCACCTCTGGCGCATCTCTTTCCCAGGCGCTCTCTTGAGACCCAAGCCTTTCCTAAAACAGGTCCCCAAATTATGCAGCCCAAATGAACGGGGCTCAGAAATTGCAGGCACGAGCAGCAGATTTCCATGTGTCATTCTGGCTGCAGTTTGAGAATGTCCAACCTTGCAGCGTCGTCGTTTTCCCCACATGCACACAGAGAAACCCCCTTTTTTCTCCCAGTGGAGACCTTACCCAGCTCCGTCTGCACATGGGTGGGGAGGCCCAGGACGGTGGTCCTCCTCTCCCTCTTCCTTCTCTCCCCCTTTGTGGAGGATTTGGGGAACGAGTCGTGCGGCCGGAAGGTGGAACCTGAAGGATGGATGGAAAGAAGCGGGGGGGGAGGAGAGGGGGCAGAATGAATTAAATGCGGTCGAGGTGAAGGAAGACGGCTCACCCCGCAGGCGTCAAAGACCTCCCCTTGGTGTGGGGTTCCTAAGGGAAAGACCCACGATGTTTGGGGGGAAGCAACCCCAAGAGGCCAGAGACCACCCCTCCTGGGCCGTGGCCATCCACACAGTCCAACCACCTCCTCCAAACACACACACCCGTGACAAGCTGCGATTCAGGGGACACCATTTTGCCACAGGCTAATTGTAACTCACTATCCACGTGGCCGTTTCAGGCCACAAGAGGTTCCCTTTTTTAAAAAGAAAAGAAACAGAGCCCCATCATTGTTATTTTCTTTCTTTTCCTCTTTTTAAAGATCTTTCCTGGTCTGAAAAGGGCCTGGGGTGAAAATTTCATTTAACGGGCAAAGCACCCCTTTCCTGGGGTGTCTGCTGGTGCAACTGGCCATTTGGGGGACAAGATTTTGTTCAGGAGGGCAATGTGGGAGGTGGTCCGAGAAGGGAGAAGAAAGGGTCTAGGGGGCACACCGGGCGTGTGTGTGTGTGTGCGTGCGTGCATGTGTGTGCGCGTGTGTGCTTACGTGGTGTGTGTGTGTGTGTGCATGCATGCATGTGTGTGCACATGTGTGCTTACGTGTGCATGTGTGTGGATGCATTCCCCTTGGCACACATCTTTGCTAATGCTGTAGAAGGTCTCACTCTGAACCCTTCCCAAAGCAGACAGGTTTCAGCATCTCTGCCTTAATTGGGAGAAAGGCGGCATACAAATGCAAACAAATAAAATAAAATAAATGCAGAAGACCTTGCCTTCAAGAGAAGGCTCCCAAACTCTGTGAGGCCTCTGGGAAGAAAAGGGGCTTCCCCCCCCTCCCCAACCATGCCTGTTGCCCAGCTCAGTGGCTGGCTTCTTTTGGTTAAAAGAAGGGGCGCCGGAGGCTGCCCGAGACGTCCTCCCAGGCCGGCTGCAGCCAGCGCCTACCTTTCCGCTGGATCATCTCTGAGCGGATCGAAAGGGCATCCTCGGAGGTCGTCTCTGTCGTGCACGACAGGGTCTGGCTTCGGATCGAGACATTGTCCCCTTCTGCCGATGAGCGGGACTGCAGCATGAGAAAAAGGGGGGGAAAGGGTGAATCCCTCAAATTCCAGATGAATCTCCTTGCAGTGTGCCCCCTCCCCCCCCGATGCCTGCCACCTTCAGAAGGGGACAGCAGTGGCCTCTAACCCAGGTTTGCATAAAACCCAGCATCCAAACATTGTTGGACTACAACTCCCACCCTTGTTGGCCACCGGCTGTGCTATCTGGGACCAATGGGGGTTGTAGTCCAGCCCTGTCTGGAAGCTGTCCTTGGCCAAGCTCTGCCCTTTAGCAGCACAAGGAGGACGTCTCTCCATGAGCAGATACTCGAACGCGGACCCTTCCCGGAGGAGAATGCTCCACAGCCCCAACCCTTCCGTCAACAGCTTCCTACAGTTCTTGCACCCATTTTTTTTAAAAAGCAAAAATTCAAAAGAGAAGGCAAGTTAGGGAGATGTCCAACCGCCTCCTTTCTGGCTCTGCCAGGGGGTGCTGCTCACGGAGACAGAGAGCAAGAGACGCTGCGTTTGCCAGGACACAATGATGGGGTAGGGCTGCTACTGCAGATAATCAGTATATTTTGCTATTTGTTAATCATCTAGATGACAGGAGGAATTTTTGGGGAAGTCTTAAAAAGGTAGATCAGAGGAAATGCACAAGGAGACCCTATTGTGTTGACAAAAAGATTAAGCGATTAGGCTGGGGAGGGGAAGGGGGAACATCACGGGTCAGAAAGAATGAGAAGGGTGCGATTGGGAAGAAGGGAACATTATATCCAAAAAAGGAGAAAAATAAATAGGAGTCTGGGGTCTAGCTAGAGAAGGGAGCGGGGGATGTAAGCAATGGGAGGGACTTCCCATGCCTACCGGATCAGTGGTGCACCTTGGGGTAGCAAGGGAGAATAGGGAACAAATATCCTGCGGCCGGGAACAGGGAATAAATATCGAGCTGTCTGTATTGATTGGTGTGCGCCTGTCCGGTTAGGACACCCGCTTTTGCAAAAGTGCTTTTAATAAAGGAGTGCGGCTTGAATTCTTGGTCCGTCAGTTGCAGTTGGTTGAACGGAATGGTGAGCCTATGACACATTCACCAGCAATACTTTGCATGATGAGCAAAAAATGCCAAGCCCCAAAGCCTTCTTCCCGGCACTTTAAAGAAGGCAAATTCCTTTCTGATCAAAAGGCCACGACCAGCAATACTTTGCATGATGAGCAAAAAAAACCCCAAGCCCCAAAGCCTTCTTCCTGGCACTTTAAAGAGGGCAAATTCCTTTCAGATCAAAAGGCCATGGAGTCAACACAAAAGGGCGCACTGCAGATTGCCCGGGTGTTGTCCATTTCTCAGAAAGGAACGTGGCTGCAGCTCAGGCCGGGCTGACGGCCAGCCTCCGTGACTTGAAAACCTCGTCCCCTGTTGCTTTGTGGCCCGGGAGCTGGCCGTGAGAACGCAGTAACAAAAAGGGAAATACTTGACACATGCCCAGAGGACTCCTTTCCTTGCCAAGGGGATCAGGATGTCTCTGTATTTGAGGCCACACAGAATTCAGAAAGAGAGATGGGCTCTGTCACTCACCATCTCAGCGTAGGCTTTTGATGCTGGCAGGTGAAAGGCAATTCCATTTAAACAAGGTCAGTCAGTCATGTTTGCAGAAAGATCTTTGCTCACAGCCACAGAAATTCACAACGGCTGCTAGCCTTAACGGACCAGTGTCTGAGCATGGCCTAAAGCAGCTTCATGGACTCCAGGGAGGATTGGAGGTTTTGCACGCAGGCTGTTCACTCTCAGAAGCCAGAGCAATGGGGCTGGACCTTTCCAGTGCTTGACAGAGGAGGGGGGGCTGGGGTGGAGAGGGGTATCTGGATCCTGCAGCTGGTTTCTGCAGCAATAAGCAAACAGCAGAAGCTGCAGAAGAAATAGTGCAGGTTTTTCTCCTTGTGTTGATAGGCAGAAGAATTCAACTTTCAGGTTGCAGAATTCAGACAGCCAAGACGCAGAATTGAAATTCTGCATCAGCAGGGCTTTTGAATGTATGCCCCTGGCACCTAAGCAGATGAGTCCCATAAAGCTCGGGATTCCTTTACCTGGCCACAGATCATTTGAGCAGGGGAAAGCGGGGGGGAGTGGAAGTTCTCCATTTTAATTTCCAGGTGGTCCTGCTTTGATAGTTCAAGTTCAAGTTTATTGTATTAGCTAAAAGCCATCACAATTGTTTACAGGGTATTTTTTAAATAAACCTTGCAATTTAAGTTTTAGTTGATTAAATCGCTTAACAAGCATCACATTCCACACAGCTGCTTTTCACCCAGGCTGTTAAAGGCCAGGAGGAAGAATGGAGGGCAACCCGACAAGTGGTTTGTGGTGCTGGAGTTTCTGCTCCTCGCTGTCCTCGAGATCTGTTGGACTACAAAGTCCAACATTCCCACACAGCATGACTATTGGGCCTCCTGGCTGGGGATGATGGGCGGTGTCGTTCAAAACAGCTGGGAAAAGCCAATCCTGTCCAGTTGCATAACCTGCACCCCGAAAGGTTAACAGGAACCAGGAAAATCTTGTGCCGTCCATTCACTTAGCAAATAGAACACACAACAGAAGGCTTGACCTCTGCTAAGGGAAAGAGTTTAGCCCTTTGCGGCCAAGAGGAGGGAAGCAAAGCTGCAGAGAAGCCGAAGGACAAAGTGCAGCTGGTTTCAGCCAAGATAAACAGAAACAAGCGGAAGCGTGGAGAAGGGGAGGACCGTTCCCTACTCCACACCTTGGGAAAAGTCACTTTAAAAAAAAAAAAAAGAACACAGCCATGTTTACTGAGGGGTTGTTGTCACAAAAAGCTATTTTTCCAATTCTGCAGAGAGATGGCTGCCCAATTTTTTCACCTTCCTTCCTCATGGAGATCCTGCACCAACAAGGATCTCCAAAGTCAGCTCAGGTTCAATTAGAGAGAAGCCACGTCTGACTTATTTGAAAGCAGGTCGGAAGCCTCCATTTCCCGAAGTGCCTGCTCGCCCTGTTGGGCAGCCCCTTGAACCAACCACCCCCTGCAGCAGCCCACCTGGACGACGGAGCCTCCGCAAGGGAGCGGGCAGGAAGAGATCGACAGACGTGCCATCGCCAGGACGTGGCGCGAAGCCCCCACTAAACGTTGTCCCGGAGAGAAAGGGCTTACCTGCAGGCTGCTGGTGTCACTGTGGTCCCAAGCTCTTTTGGTCTGCTTCTGCTTCTCTAGAAGGCAACAACACAGAAAACATGGTCCAGCGGTTCGGGAGGTTCGGAGGAGCCCCCGACGGCGTGCCAGCGTGACCGAGAGGACAAGGCCGGGAAGGGGGTCGTATCCTGCCAGCTCGCCTCTCTTTGTGCCTTTGCATCCCCCGCCACTTGCTGCTTTATCTCTGGCCTGGCCAAGCCTCATGGGAGGCCGGGAGGAGAGCCGCTGATCACCTGCCCTGCCAGACCGTTATTCCATGAACTCTGGACTCTGCTCGGATGCCACAACTCCCTCACCGGTTGTGCCCGGCTGCAAACACCGGCCCCTGCTGGGCGAGCCAATTGGGTTTCTGATGTGGCCAAGAACACGACTGGAGGCAGCAAAAGCCTACAGGCAGGACCGCTGGCTTTGGCACGCAGAGCCCAGAAGACGTACTGCTAACTTATGGGAGACGAGGGAGAGCAAACAGGCCAATAAATGAATGCAAACCAACGGTCAGTGCTAAGGAAGCAGCGCTTGGCCGTCGACCCCAAGAAAGTGGCCTGAGATGTGGGGGGGAGTCTCAAGCTTACGCAGAACAACCTCTTCTCCAGAGCCACAGTTGTGGGAGAAGTGGTACGGCCAGTGGAGAACAAAATGGAACATGCATATGGGTAGTGGTAGCTTTTTAAAAATTTTTAGAAGCAAATCCCAAATCTGGTCCTACGGAACACCGATCTCATACCGATTCGGTAGAGCCAAAAGAAAACACTTTTATACAAGTCCAGCCCGTGCTCACAATACGTCCCATTTCTAAGATTCCCCCTCTTATATTTTCTTATTTCAAACCTACAGCTGAGAAAGAAGTCTCTATTGAACTGAAGCTGAGAGTAAGGAATTATTCCGTTGCTGTGGAATTTATATTTCCAGTTTTGTAATAACTCGGGGGGGGGGAGGCAGGCAAAGAAAGCAGTGCACCTGGTTTAAAGGCAAAATCATAGAGGCAGAAATTACTAGGGTGGTAATGAAGTTGGGGAGGGGATTTCAACAAGACCCTGGAAAAAAGAGGTGCAGGATTTGCAGGGTTCCCAGCCACTCACCCTGTTCTAGAGACACAGAGATTTAAACATTCAGACGGGGCAGAAAATCACAGATCTTTCTTAAAAGCAGCAGGATGTAAGGGGCCAAGAAGCCCCACAGCTCCTGCCCAGGGGAGGAGGCGCCAAGGAGATTGGAGGCAAAGGAAATCCCCACATTGAGGACGGGGGGGGGGAGCAAAGACGATGCACCGCTTTGTAAGGGGATCAGTCCTATCAAGCAAAGCCCCGCTCTAACAACTGGCAGGGAGCTTGGGCGGGGGGCTTACCCTGTTAGCAACGCCTACCTTGGTTCTGCAAGGACTTGAGTCCAGCCTGGGCCTGAATGTGCAGCTCCTCGAGGTGGGGGGGCCGGCTGGCGGAAAAGAATGCATTGTCGGTCCGCTCATCTCCTGCCTTGTACTGGACGCTCAGACGCTTCTCCTTCTCTGCCTTCGCAGCCCCTGAAAACATAGCAACGATTCGGTCAGCCAGGTCCCACTCCCATCCAGGAATCGTCCTCGGATCTATACCAAGAACCACGGAGCAGATTTCCATCCTGCCAAGAGATGCCCCCTGAACCAGATTCACAGAGAGTGGGTGAAGACCAGAGGGTCCAGTATTCCCTGCTCTGGCTGGCAGCAACCGCTTTCCAGCCACAGAACCTGCAGAGCTGAGACAAGCAACGCTTTGCCGGGGAGGAAAGCTCACGCCTGGAGCACCTGCTGACAGGCAACCATCCCACGTCTGCTTTTCAAGCCTCCTATCAAGTCAACACCACTGCCTTCTCAGGCGGGACGTCCCAGAGAGAAGGGCCTTTCCCCTAATCTGTGACTCCATCTCGTTCTTAGCAGGACGTGCCAGGGTCCTGCACTCAAGTCCTTCTGCATCCGAAGATCAAGCTAGGGTTCCATAAACTAAAACAGTTGAGAAAAGCACAGGCCTCCAGAGGATAGCACTGGACTACAGCATCCAGCTTCCATCACCACTGGCTATGCTGATGGGGGCTAATGGGAACTGTAGTCCAATGGCACCTAGAGGCCTGCGCTAAAAGAGCAAGCTGTTCTCTTTCTGACCCAGGCCCTGAATGAAGCAAGTGGGCAGTTCACACCAAAAGACTAAGCGGCACATCTGATTGAAAGACTGCCATATCTCCAGAGATGTGGGTGAGCCATCAATCTCTATTGCTATCGATAATCCTAACTTCACGGTTATCAGCAGCTGATAACCATCAACTGCCACACACAGCTGTCATCTCTAGCAAATCCTACTAACAACCCCCTTGCTTTTCACTCTTTCTTATTTCAACTCTTTCTTATCTGTTAACTAAATAGAGGAAACCAGGGAGCCCTGGAGGGTTGGCTCAAAGCATCGCCCTTAGGACCTTTTGGAAGAAGCGACCATTGACAGCAGGCTCTTGGATCAAAAAATAAAAAAATAAATTGTACCTCTGTGGACAGTGAGTCTGGAAAGGTGGATGAAACAAAGCACAAACTCCTGCCATTGTGTGGCCGTTGTGCAGCCCAATGCTATGTGTGTTCCTCCAAAGTACATTCAAGTGAGCTCACTGGCACTAAATAATAATAATCCTAGAACTGCAGAGTTTACCAAGGAGGAAATTTATGGCATCACCATAAATGAGGAACAAACCAAATGCACCTTGGTTTTGGAGGCGAAACAAGATCAGATCTGGCCCTGACCTGGACGGGAGACCACTGGCCCCCCATCCACACACCCCCAGGCAGAGCTACAACAGACTCCCAGATGACTCAAAGTCGCTGCCAGTCAGAGCAGTCAAATACTGGGAGAGACGGGTTGGTAGCTTCCCAACGGTGTGCCCACAATAGATGTGTTTCTAACAAACAGGTTGAACGCACTTTTTGTCATTTATTTTGTACTCCCTATGAAGCACCTCTGGAAGAAACCCGATCCATGCAAAAACAGGTCTATTTCCCCCCCAAAAAAACACAATCCACCAAGAAACATCTGCGGGACTGGCGCCTCTCCTGCAAGAAAGCAAGGATGTCCCATAACTATAGCAACCCTACGGATCCCTTTACAACCTTCTGCTGGCACATGGGTGATGTGACACCCACGTTCCTGAACCCTGCACGCACACACACACACACGCACACACACACACACACTCGCATAGCGGCTGCAGCCAAGCTCAGCTGCACAAGTTCCGAGCGCCTGCCTCTTTAAATCCAGCGCACCGAACAAGCGAAAGAACCCCAGGGCAGGATCACATGACTGATACCAGAAATATCTGTGCACCTTGCACGCACGCACACAGGCAGCCGAGAGCGAGAAAACACCATCTAGCTTAAAGGGGCAGCGTCTAACACATTGTGCAAAAAGACAGCCAGTTCCTGACGTTAAACCCCAAGAAAAAGGGGACTCAATATGCAAAGTTTCAGCAGGAATCTTCCCCAGCCCAGTCCTGGAGATGCCAGGAGGCTGGCTCAGAGGCAGACAAAAATCTAACCCCCCTCCAGGTTTTCAAGGTTACACTTACGCAACTGGAGTCCCTCCATGTACAAAGCTTGAATTCTGCTACCTGGTCACTTCGCTTTCGCATCTGCTCCTGGTTCACTCTCTGTTCCTTTGTTCTGAGAGTGGGGAAATGGCCCTGCTTTTTGGGAAGAGGCCTGCAAACCCAGGAATGGCCCCAGGCTCCCCTCCAGAGCCACTGGCTGTATTTCTCTAATGCTGTTCTCCTCCTCCTCCTCCTCCTAGAGCGGTGCTTCCCAACCTGAGGTTCCCCAGATGTTCTTGGACTACAACTCCCATAAATCCTGCCCAGCGCAACTGGTGGGGAAAGCTTCTGGGAAGTGCAGTCCGAGAACATCTGGAGCCCCAAGATGGGAAGCCACTGTTTTAAGGATAAGAATAGAATCTCATGGCAGGGACTGAAAGACCAGGCTATTGATCAAGAAACCCACAAGATTTGTTGGTAAATATTCGCTGTCAGTCAATAAACAGGATGTGCAGGGTTTAGAAGTCATTGCAAGAAGGAATCAGATTGACCTGTTTGGCTTAAGCAACAGCACGCGGCCTTGGCTTTCATACCTGCTACACAAGTAAGTGATCTTGATGATGCGCTAGCAAATAAATTCTGACTTTCCCTGGGTTTTTCTAGGTGTCACGTAGTCAGGAATTTGGTTCATCAGTCTTTCCTTCTAAGGGTGCTCGTCAGGTCATCAAAGACCCCTGCCGCCCCATGTGGCGGATCCCCTCTGAGCAAGCACAATGGGGATTTGAACCCCCTGCAGCCTGCAGCCTGACACTCCAACCCACTGAGCTGCATTAAGCTGAGATTTCTTCAGCGAAAGATCCTGCGGAGTTTATACTGAACCACAGGATGCTTTTCCCTTGAGAAGGACCGAGCAAAGCATCTCATCGCTGGCGCCACGATTCACCTACGGCACATGATCCGTTCGTGCCTGTCACGCCTCCTTTTCTGAGGGAAGTCATGACTCACGTTAATTGGCCTTTTGTTGATATTTATGAGCTTCTACGTTATTTGCCCAACTCCTGGAAGTTAACCGGCAGCAGGAATGAATTTTCCAGGCCCTTACGGAGTGTGAAAGACTCACTATGACAACACGGGAAAAATAAACAGCTACTTCCTATTAGTCTGTAGACCGAGCCCCTTGCAACACTTTCCACATTTCAAAGCATTCCACAGAGGTCCCTTTACATCCACTGGTTTTAAGTACCTTTGTCTTCTAAAATACTTTTTGCACAATAAAAAAAAAAGTGAGCCGATCCTTTAAAAATCCAGTTTACTAAGGATGAATCTCCACCAGCAGGTGATTTTCAAAAAAGAAATCAGTGCTCAACTTTTAGGACTAAATGTGGAAAGCAGCGAGTCTCACAAGAAAAGTGGGAATACATGGCCCTCTGGCGGTTGTCGCGCTGCAATGCCTTCCAGTCCTAAGCATGCTTAACAGTGACGGATGATGGGAGGTGTGTAGTCCCACAACATCCAGAGGACCACATACATGTTCCACCATCCCGGGCCTGTATCTAGCACGGCTCTTCTTTGCCATACTCTGATGATGAAAGGAGGAGGGGAGGCCCCCAAAAGACCTCTTTGAGTGGAGGGGAGGTCAAAGAAGGAGAGGTCCTTCCTTTACCTGTGGACTCGGGGAGGGGGGGTTGCATCGTGCCCTCCTTTGAAAACTTCTGTAGAGAGTCAATCCGCAAAAACACAGGGATGAAATGAATCCCATTCAAAGAAAGCTGAGCCTTTCCATTTAGCACCACCAGTTCGGACGGCCTCTCGCTCCAGGCCCATCTTTGTGTGAGGAGGGTTCAAAAGCGAAGCGTGCTTTTCCAACTTGCCTGAGCCTTCCAAACGAGGAGACAGAAAAATTCAGCGCACAGTCTGGAGACCTGAGCTAAAACCCTCGGTTCTCAACAAAGCGCCTTCTTAAATACGCTCACATGAGCGAGTCCAAACACATCCAAAGCAATCCATTAGACAGTTCTGCCCACCCACTCCGCTCTTAATAGACGGTTAGATGCGGCTTAAATCCTGCCTTTTAAAGCCAACACTCTGGGAACACTCAATCCCGTGATCCCGACACTCACGGCCACACAGATTGCATGGGGTGAGGCTTTGCAAAAAGCACAAAAACCCAAACTGTTCCTCCGGACGGCTGTGCGTCTTCCAGGTAGCGAAGTTATCTGCAAGGACTGGGCTTAAGCCCATAGCAGCCGCCACCGCGAAGGGCCAAACTGCATCAGGGCTCTCTGTGCCATGGAGAACAAGCCAGGCGGTCCCCACCAAACACGGAGTGGCTCTCCCAGGCAGGGCCTGGCCTTTGCACAAACCACCGGGCACAGGCCAGAAGTGGAGCTTCAGCAGAGCCTGCAACGCAAACGCTCAGTAGTCACTCTCTTCCTCAGCACCTCTCCAGGCCCTGCTGGCTGGGAAGAACAAGAGCTTTGCCTTCAAAACCTCTGAAAGGCACTCGTGGAAGAAAGAGAGCTTGTAACAAAGCAGCCCAGCCCCCCCAATCTGTATCCGGCCGGACTAAACCACTGGCCTCTTCCATGTCCTCTGTGTGTCTCACTTTCGGTAACCTTTTTTCTGCTCCTGTCCAGGGTCCCAGAGAAAAGAAGAACCCCTCTCGGAGCCCTGCATGCTAAGATCTGCTTCTGTTTGGAAGCACCAAGCCCTGCCTCCGGGTTCTTCTGCTTAGAGATGTTGCACCATGACGGCGGGCGCCCACCCCACCCCCCCAGGATCGACAGGGCCAGGTAGCCCTCAGAAGGGAAGCTCAAAGCAACAATAAGTGTTAGTAACAACCCAGAGCTTGGCTCCCTTCCTCCTTCCTTGCAAGGCGGCAGCAGGTCAACTGCTTAACATTTAAAACCCAGCTCAACAATAATTTCTCAAGCTGGTTCATTTGGCCTCTGCACTGTCACATCTGGGGTAAATGTAGGGCAATTACCACCCTTCTAGCCAACAAGAAGGCATAGATGGGGATGGACCAGCCTTCTTACCACTGGGTTAAATCCAAATAAAATAAATAAATAAATAAATTGGGCCTCCAGATGTCCTTGGACTACAAGGAAGCACCAGAAGTCTTCCGCCTTGGACTACAACTCCCAGAAGCCTTCCGTTGCTAACCAGGATTTCTGGGAGATGAAGACCAAGAACATCTAGAGGCCCAAAGTTGGGGACCCCTGCTCTAGAAGATTACAGGCAGACCTGTGGGGAATGGCCTTCCACTGCTCCTTTCTCCTCCCCTCCAGTTCTGAGAGCTGAGCATCTGGTCCTCAGGATGATAACAGACTCCAAGAGTAAGAGAGGGTGACTAGCACTCTGCAGTTAAGCATCACCTGAAACCAACCCAGAGCCTGCAATTAAAACTATTTAAAATTCCTCATTGCCTTGATGACGAGAGGAGGGTTCCATTTTCAAACCAAAAGCGCACTCCAGCCCCACAGAAAAGAGGCCTGATCCTGCCTGGGGGGCATATGCTCATCCAGAAAGACTCCGCCTCGCAAATGCCAAGCCTAAACTGGGCAAACAGTATATGTTTGTTGACATCCAACTGGGTTACCATCAGACACCACACCTTAAAAACACACACATCCACATCCATGGATGCAAGATTTCAACCAGAGCACAAGGCCTTCAACAATAAGGGCAAAAGCCGCCTTGTTCAATGTTTTGTAAACATAGATGAGCAGAAATAAAGAGAGCTAAATCCAGCTGTTAGTTCCAGCTAGAGTCGTCCCACTGAAGGAACTCAACCCATTAAGCCAACACTAATGTAAGCCTCAATGAGTCTACTCTAGTCACAACAAAGCACTGGCCATAGTCCTTGTTTGTCTTGATAGAGAACCCTGGACCCTCAGAAATATGGCCCCATCCTGTCCTGTTCATTAACAGCCGCTGGACAGGGCTGTTCAGCCAAGGTCACCCCTCTACACTCACAAACACACACACACACTGCAGGCTTTAAGAGAGGCTGACTCAGCACCACTTCCGATTCTCCCCTCCCGGGCTTCCAATCCTTGTTCTCGGTTTAGCAAGAAGATCAATACGGCTGGAGCCCACCTCGTTTTTGAAACACAATCTTGCTCATCCATCCGTTCTCTGCTTTCTCCCTCCTTCTCTTGGCAGGGCAAACACGGCGCTCAATGGGGCCATCCCAGATCCCCGTCCTTTTCTCTTGACCCCAGCAAGAGGAGGGGGGGTCAAGAGAATGGGGAGGGGGCCAGAGGTCAAAAGGGTCACAGAAGAAGAGGGTGGATCCCAGCAGAAATGAGGCAGACATTTCTTGCGCCCTCCGTTTGGGCTAGGATTTGTTAGGGACAAGATGCTCAGGGGATTCATATCATGGACTTCCTGGGTTGGTGGTGGCAGGATTCAAAACCTTCTGAGCGATTTTTAGAACACATCTGATTGGTGGCAGAAAGCTCTTTAGGTTTTAGAAAAGGATTCGGAACGGACGTTTTTACAGACTCTCAGTGGCAGAAGATGTGCAGGAAGGAGCCCATCATGCAGGAGGGAGGGTTGAAGCCTGCCTCAGCATTGCCCCCCCCCAAAAAAAAACACAAGGCATGGATTTCTTCCCCTCTTGAGCTTTTAGAGTGCAAAAAAAGATGCAGATCTAATCCATTCTCCAGCCCAGGAGATTAAAAACCATTAAAAAAACAATGACGATTCCTTTAGGTAAGAAGAAAAGTCTAGAATTTAGTTTAGCTGTTCTCAGCAGCCATTTTGCCTGGGAATGATGGGAGTTGTAATACGATGATGCATCTGGAAGGAGAAAAGGCCAGTTTAGGGGATGGGTGTGAATATCTGGACTCCTTTTAACCAGCATCACAATTCAAGAGAACCCCATCAAGTGAGGTCACCAGGGCAGCTCTCGAGATGCACAGACTCAGGGAAAGTCTTAAATCTTTCAATCCTATTATCCACACCTTATGCACACTTGAGCGACCATCTCAGGGAAGCCATTTCAAGAGAACCCCATCAAGTGAGGTCACCGGGGCAGCTCTTGAGATGCACAGACTCGGGGAAAGTCTTAATCTTTCGATCCTATTATCCACACCTTATGCACACCTGAGCCACCATCTCAGGGAAGCCACGTTCTCTAAGAGAATTTGCTCCAGATGGTCCAGGCTGCTGAAAGGGACTTTGGCCAGGATGAGGGTGAGCAACAACCAAAGGTGCGGGTTCTAGAGCACGCTTCTTAATGGGCAGACCTGTATCCTATCACCCACTGCATGTCACAGCCTGTCACCGCCTAGGAAGGGTGGCACGTTCCAGGACACGGAGTTCACTCCGGGAAAAGGACTCAAACCAAGGGCAGCAACAGAAACAAACCCAACAGGGTTGGTCCTTAAGAACCGAGGATGCTTGAACCTCATCTGCCCACAATTTTTTGTTAGCCTGATGAAGCATTCTGGAGAGCTCAAAAGCTTGCACGGTACTGTGAAACGGAAGTCGACCCTAATAAAGCTTTGAGGATCCCAGATCTCCCACTAGGTACGAGACTTGGAGCACCCAAAAGGCTTCGCCCGTACAACAGAGACACCCTCTTTCCACCCGCTCTGTCCACAGAGGAGGGGGCTTGCGCCTCTATTCCAGTGACCACACAGCAGAGGCAAGATCTGAACTGGGGGCCACCCAGTCCACAGCCTGCGCCGTTCACACGATACCCCTTTCCCAGCACTTCCTACCAGACTGTGCAGCTGCTCAAGGCAAAACTTTGCAGCAAGCAAAATAAGTCTGACCTTGTTTTTGGTGTTTTCAACGATTGGCCCTGGAAGGGTGGACAGAGAGGGTGAAAAAAGAGGGAGGCCAGTGCATTCTACGCGCCCGCACACACACACACACAGAGAGAGCGTGCTTCCAATTGTTCATCTACTGCTGAAAGAAATCCCGCCTGCCTGCAGAGGCCAGCGAGAAAAACAAAATTTAAGAGGGGGAGGAGGGGGAGGAGGAGGAAGAAGCAAGAGGAAGCATGGAGGGGCTGGGGCGGCGATAGAAAGGCTACAGAAAGACTGCAGAGAGAGCCAAAGGGAGAGGGCCCGATCCCAGAGCCTTCCAAGCCACCAATGCCCCTCGATGCCCCCCCCACACACACCCCTCTGGATCTCCTGCCCGTCTGATCCTGAGCTAAATAGCATCCCAGTTGAGCATTCATGCCGGCAAGGGGGGGAGTGGGAGGGGGGAAGGAAGTCTCTGGCCAAGA